GTTGACGCTACAGACCTGCGCGTGGGCAGCGGCAGATTGAGGACGGCCTTGTAAGTCTTCAAGTCCCTGTGGAGATCCTGGAAGTGCTTCTCCTTCTTCTTCACCAGCCACGTGAACTCGCCGTGTTTCATCTCGATCTTGTAGACCGCCGGCATGGACTGGAACATCACACATACACCAAAAACGTATGAACAGAAGACACAAGTCGGGGACCCCAGTCAATGACTTTAGAGCGTGACGGTTGCGATCTGCTTGGACTCATCTGGCACCTTGCTGACGCTCCTCTGCTGGCTGACGTTGAAGCGGTCCTGGGCCGACGTGAAGCGTTCCACCTCCAGGATATTGGCGGTGATGGGACGGGACAGGAAGGCCGACTTGCAGTCCTTGAAGCCCACCGTGTTGTATATCGCACGGAAGGGCAAGCCGTCCCCTGGAATGGCATAAAGTTCAGAGTACCACTGCAACGTGGTATCTGCAACGCAATTCTCAGGATCAGTCTACGAAAATTATTACAGTACCTACCTGGCTGTCCGCCGTCGTGGTTGTGAACTCCGCCGCCGCTGTCGCCCATGTCGAGCTCGCGGGCGTCCAGCGTTTCCATGATGCCGCTCATGTCGCTAGCGACCAGTTGCAGCGTGCTGGTGGTCGGCTGGGTTTGACCCAACATGGCTAACGCTCAGCTGGGAGCCCGAGGCTCACCTGGAGAGACAGGTAGAGAGGTACTGACGGGGAGGATACACTAAGACAATCGGCTGTTGATATATTGCGGTTTTTAATTCACCGCAGTACATCTCAGGTAAACATTGATAGCTAACTGAACGTAGCCTACCACAGCTAGTTAGAATTTATTTTAATCCCTAACGGACGGTTTTGAGAGAAGGAAGATGGAAACAAGCCGCTATTGGTCGTTCAATCACTTTATTAAACAAACAGTAACAAAATATAATCATCAAAAATTCATTCTTAGTTCACCTGCCGGTAGACGTCGTCGCAGTTTACTACAGTATAGTGGCTAATGCTAAAGCAAACAATGGGCTGGAAAGTAAACCATTGTCATTGGCGCACTGGCAGTTTTATTTGCATTGCGATAACACACTTCAAATTATTTGACTTTCGCAAAGTTTGTTTTCGAAGAGTCAGCCTGTGCGTGCCTCGCCTAAATATGGTCAGCAAACAGTTGCCTGCAAGAATAATATACGGTCCAGACAGTGTTGACAACGTGCCGTTTAGCACTCACGTTGATTGCCGGCGCGCGCGCACACATACTGGCACTGAGCTGAGGCTGCCACAGAGAGCAACAGCATCACCCTCATTGCGCTGCCACACACACACACAC